TATTATTAACATCGACCAAAACTAACATAAACACTGAGAGATTTACATTAGAAATATAAGTTTTAATTTTATTTAGGATTTATTAAAGCTTCAAAAAGTTTTTTATTTGTTTATTTATTTAGTTATTTTATTTCGCACACAACAAGACATAAGATTTAACAAAAAATCTTTTTTTTATATATAATAAACATAAAATGTTTTCAATCATAACTTTTTTATATATAATCATTTGACTTAAAGAAAGCGTTACTTTTAGTGATGAATTTAATGCCATTTTATTGTCACTGAAAAAAATTGCAACTTTTGTGTGTTGACTGTCATATCGCTATTACAGTAAATTTATAGCAATATTTATGGCATTTTGAGTGTTAAGTTAGCAGAGAATGAAAAAAAGTTGAAATATTTTTTTTATTTATATATATATATATGTCTCTCAAAATCAGACAAACATTTTTTCTCACACAACAAACCTTTTAAGCAAATGAAAAAATATATAAAAAATCAATTATTATTCATCTAATGTTATGGTATTTATTATACTCATATACTGTAATAATTTAATAGTTGGTTTGTGTCCTAAATTTAATGCTATTTAATATACGATTTATATTTATTTTATTTATTTAAAAAAAAAAACTAAGTTTTGCAACATATTTGCATTACTATAAAAATTTGAATTTATTTGTTGTCTTATTATTTTATTTATTTGAATGCATTTTTTCCTTATTTTGTGGTAATTTTATTTGCAATACACAAATACCATTCATTTATTTCTATTATGTTTTTTTCTATTTGTCTCTCATTTTTTTTTTTATATCTTTCGCTATATTTTTTTTGTTTTGTTTTATCTTTAATACCGAAATAAATAATTTCTTGTTTTTATGATTTATATCAAAAACATTTCGTGCCGTTTTGGTCGACCACTACCACTACTACCAGTGTTTTTTCTCCCTCTCCTCTCTCTCTCTCTCTCTCTCTCTCTCTCTCTCTCTCTCTCTCTCTCTCTCTCTCTCTCTCTCTCACATATCTCACACTCTCAGTGCCCAACATTTATGCCATCCTTTTCCCAACACACATATCTTGTAGTACTTTATACAGTGTGTTATATAACACACAGACACAGAGTAATTGGCTTTTGTTTCTCAAACACTTATTGTTGTCACTTTTTGTTCAGCACTGGTAGTAGAAGTAGTAGTAATAGTAGACTCTGTACTACTATCAGTGCTATATTGAAATCTCACCCAAAATTTGCTGTCATTTCATTGTTTACTCACATTTTTTCTCTCTATTTTTCGAAATAAATATGAGTTTAGTTTTTTATTTTAAAATTATCCATAAGTTTTGTTTCATTGTATATAACAAGACATGAGTACATATTTTCAATTTAAAAATCCTTTTCAATTATTAAAAACTTTTGGTGTTTTCGGCACAAAATTTATTGTCTCTTTTATTTTACTTACTTTCTCTTTCAATGAAATTACATATAAAATTTTTGAATGAGTTTTATAACTTTTTTTCCCTTTTCATAGTTGTTGTTATTATTATGTATTGTTAATGTATTGTAAGTGATGAACGTTTCATTAATTTTTGTTGTTTTCGGTGTTTTCAGTGAAATAATAACATAAATAAAATATATTTATAATAAATAAAAACTAACAGCAAATGAAATAAAGTTTGCCTCTCATTAATGTTGTTAACAATTTCTTTAAAAATAAAAATCCTATTTATTTTGCTTCAATTTTGTTAGATATACACCTATTGTAAGTATACAACAACAAAAATCTATTTTATATATGTTGTAAAATCTTAGATTTTTTTTAAATTTAAAAAAACGAAAATATATTTCTTATTTATTTCTTAAAGATAAAATATGTTTCACATTATATATATATATAAACATAAGTGTTAAAAGCCATCACAAACTTATAAAAAAAACTTGTGAACAACTAATCAATTTTCTACTATAAATTTTATGGCATTAAAAACCTACACACATTTAGTAGTTTTCGATTCAATACCAAATGTATTTATATATAAAAAAATATTGTCGAATATTTTTTAAAAGATTAAATAGACTGCAAGGTTTGGTCCCTTAAATTCATTGCAAAATTGTTGGACGCTTTTAAATGCCAAAACATCTCTCTCTCTCTCTCTCTCTCTCTCTCTCTCTCTCTCTCTCTCTCTACGTCTCTTATCTGGTGTTTAGAAGCTATCATTTTTACGGCATTCCCTGCTAAACATAATATCAATAGAGAGAACCCACAAAAAAGTCGTTTCAGAGACATTAGAGAGAGAGAGAGAGAGAGAGAGAGAGAGCAGATGATAGCATATGGTCTTTATTTTTATACATTATGTGTATATTATACTTATACTACAGTTGTGTTAAGATCTCAATTGCATGGATTGCCAATCCATAGCCGCCACAAATGTGTTCACAACAAAAAATAATAATTTCTCATAGTTTTATCACAAATAAAAACTAAGAGAAACACATACACACATATATATATATTGTATAAACAGTTGTGTTTAGCTATATATTTATCTGTATATTTGTTGTATACAGAAATAGACATAACTACTAAGTGAGTACATTATATGTATATTTTTTTGTTTGTTTGGTCAAAGACAGTGCCGAATCTTTTATCCCCTTTTATTTCCCATTGATTTTTGCTTTTATGTAATCCTTAACTAAAACTTCTACTAATGTCTTGAAAAACAGTTTTATGAGGCGTCAAGTATTTAACGTATAAAAACTACTGAACGATATCTTCAAAAGAAATTAGTTTTACTGCCAGTTATTTCATTTCTATAGTAAAAACACACTCATTATTATTATTATTATGATTATTATTAGCCCATAGTTTGTATAATTTCTTCTCTGTTTTCTCTCAATTTTTATTACACAACCAAATGTTTTTCTAGGTTTTTATCAACTGTTTTCCTAATTTATGAAAACATGAGCGCCTTTTTGCCGTATGTTTTGTATATATATATATATATATATATTATATAAGTAAAGAATTTATAAAATTCTGTGATAATTGTTTGCTATAATTTTCGATTGACACGAAAATTGCATTTTTATGTTATGTTTTATTATTATTTTATTTGTCAGTTTTTGTGTTATGCAAGATAAATAATAATTAAGAAAATTAAAGTTTAATGTTTGTGTTTTTATTTAATTTTATTAATAGAAAATTATATTTTGTGGAACTTAAATATATTAAAATTTATTATTTTAGTTATTTTTTTGTAGTTAAATGCAAATTGAATATATAAATATTTATTTATTTATTTATATAATTATGAAAATTTTATGAAATCCATTATTTAATATACTGTATGCGAATAAACAGAAAATAACTTTTATAATATAATAACAATAATAATAATAATGTTTTTTATGTTTTAAACAAATTAAATGTTTCTGACAGTCATATGTTTTTAGTATAAATAGAAATAAATACATAAAATTTCATATATTCTGTTCACTACATGTCGTCAAACTATATTAAATGTCTTAACAAATAAAATAGTTATATCTTGAAAATATAAAAACTATTATTTTATTATTTATTTGCTTTATTTTGTATTTGTATTACTTGTATATATTATTATTATATATTTATATTTAAAAACATAAGAAAAAACTATTTCTTATTGTTATTATATTTCTTTTAGCATTATATTTCTGTGACAGCCATTAGTGGAGAGAAAAACATTTCTTATTATTATAACTTTTATTATGATTATTATTAGTAAACTTTATAAGAGTATAATATTATATCAGTTATATATATATATATATATATATATATATTGTGTGTGTGTGTGTGTGTGTGTGTGTGTGTGTGTAATAATATAACATGAAAATAAGTCTCTTATGTACAGTTAAGTATAAATTGTAATGTGTTTGATAGTTGAATGGCATATATATACTGTATAAATATATCTATAAAATATAATGAAGTTATTCCCGCAATATATTCAACACAAACAATGAGTGAGTGAACCGCTATATTAGTGGCCAAAAGGCTCTTCACATTCAGCGCTGGCAATGTGTCGGTGAATATATGATGTTAGCGGTAGTTATATGTGTGTGTGTTTTGTTAAACACATTGCCGTTATTATGATTATCTTGAAGCCAGTTATGACACATTTGTGGCCATTTGGTGCTTATATTGTATATATGTGTTTTTGGCCGACACGAGTCACTAACTATCAGCACTGTTTAGGGCACAGTATGTTTTGTTTGGTCTATTGTGTCCCAAAATGCCTCAATCAAAACACAATCTCTCTAACAACACAACACACACACACACACACACACACACACACACACTATCCCTATGCACACAAAAAACATTGTGTCTGCTTTCTGTATATTTTAAGGCTATTTAATATTATTAGATTGAAAGATCTGGCAATAGTGATAATATAAGTGCAGTTTTCTGGTAATGTTCCCAAATTTTATATACATGTTTGTCTCTTTTTCTCTTTCATATTATATGTCATATATATAACTCTCACTATTAGTGAGAAATCTCACTCTCATTGAAGAGAGAGAGAGAGAGAGAGAGAGAGAGAGAGAGAGCACAATCACTACAAAAACATTATACATATAAACACTAAAACTTAATGGCTTTTTCTCTCTCTCTCTCTCTCTCGACTACTCAGAATAATAACTTATTATTATATAATATATATATAATAATATTATATGAATTTTCTGTTATATCATTATACTAAATAAAAGTAAATTTTCTTATATATAAAAATATATTTTTATGTATATTGAAAATGAATGTTAGTCCACAAAAGATTTATACTTTCGTTTTTTTCTCTCATTTATGTTATACTAGTTTCTTATATAAACACACACTGTATGTATGTATGTATACCTAATAGTATAATATATACAGTAAATAAGCTGCGATACAATAATACTAATAATATATAATAATTTTTGTTTTGTTTGCATTTTTTTTCTGTAACAGAGATTTCACGGTCGAAGACGTTGAGTGAGAGTGGAAAGAGACCTAAATATATATAACAATCCCTTAATCTAATACTTGTGCCGTTGGTATCCCTGTCTAAACTAATGATATTTGCCGTAAGTATCAGTAAAAATAATTTAGCGAAAAATGAGATTAAATTTTTTGTTATTTTTTAAGTTTATATTTGATATATATATATATACAGTATATATTTGTTTGCTAAGAAATTTGATCTCGCATTTTGTGTACTTAAATATAAATTTTTATATCAAAATGTGTTATTATTTATTATGAATTTTAACGCTTTTCACAATTTTCTGATGGTGTGTGTGATATGTGTTAAATATATATATATTTATAAAAATAGGTTTGATTTAATTTATGATTTTTGCTCACCAGAAAATGTTTTGCATAATTGATTTGGTGTTGTATTGCCTAACATATATCATAAAACATTATATATGATTATTGCACAGAATATTCTGTTAAATAAATATATCATATAAATTCTGGTAATATATAATGATAGCTATGATATGTTATACTTCCTAGAAAAATGCCTGCAAAACCTTATGCTAACATTTTTGCTCGCTATCTATCTTATACTAACAATATAATAATATATATAAATTACATATACTGTATATACATATATAACTTATATAATAGAGTATATATATATATGAGTTTCTCTCGCATATATTGCCTAAATTGGATTTATTAGTCAAACGAATCGATAAAATTACTTAATTTAGACTTAAATGTATATTTCGTTTTGTTCGCTATATTACATTATTTGATATTTATGTGTGTGTAGTGTATGGGCTGGAATCCATGACCTACCAGTGCTGTGTAAATGTAATTTATTTAATGTTTAAGAATATTTCTTATTTTTAAATTATATATATTTTTCTTTCAAACATTAGCTTTAAATTAAAGTTAAACTCAATGGCCATTAAAAATGGGGAAATATTTTTTTTTTGGTAAAATAATGCCAATGCATTTATTTATTTAATTGAAACCATTACTATTTATTAGTTATATTTTGGTGTGTTTTGTTTTAATATATTGATTTTAATATATCATAGATGATATATAAATAATTTTAAAATATGCAATGAAATTATAATAACATAATACATAATAACATATGCAAAAATTATATGCAACTATGATTTGGTGCCTTTTAATTAAAACACTTGTTTTATATCATATATTCATTTTAGACGCGTTTTATCGTTTAGTTTATTATTCACTGCATTATTATTAATATTATTATCTATTTTTTGAATTCAAAATTAATAGATTGCTTGTGTTTATATGAAAACTGTATATACTATGTATGTATATATATAAATATATACGAGAATCTCATTACTTTTTGATGTGTTGGCCGTCCCTACTATAAGTTAGAGGAGAAAAATGAGAGAAATGAGAGATTCATATCCTTGTTTCGTAGTGTTTAAGAAAGTGAGAGAAAGTTTTTTATTTTGTGAGGCCTTTCCTCTAAACTAAAAAAAAATATTATTATTTATGCCAAACATATGAGTGGTGTTGAAGAGCAACATGAAGTACAGCAAAGAAGTTGTGTGAAGACCTCTCTCTCTCTCTCTCTCTCTCTCTCTCTCTCTCTCTCTCTCTCTCTCTCTCTCTCTCTCTCTTTCTCTAAGAGTTGGTCTTTTGATATTTACAGGCAGTGTATGTAGCGTTCAGTGATCTCTCTCTCCCTCTCTTTCTCTCTCTCTTTTCATTCTTGATCTTCTCTTTACTTTTATATATATGTTATGTTTTGCTGTCAATTTCTGATGCATTTCTTGACTGTTTCGCTGCAAATGAAGCGACGACGTGACCAACATTTGTGATTAGGAGGTCTCTCCCAACAACTACTACAACAACAACAACACCATCACATTTATAGTGAACCACCATTTCGTTCATTATTTGACAGTCAGACAGACTATAGTATTTTGGTAGTAATAGTTTTAGTGGCGTAATATCAGCGCAAATACATATACAGGACCAGAAATTACTCACATATGGCGTACACATAGCATATCATACCACCGATGCCTAACCTAACGTTGGATCCCACTATCCTCTCGGGATTTCTATGTATTTTCAATGATAGTTTCCGTGAATTTCAATTTTTAATGTCTATATTACTCTATTACTATACATTTGAGATGATATGTTGGCATTTCAATAAATGCATAGTACTGTATAAATACTGTACAGTATATTTAAAGTATATATGATATGCAGTTTATATACCACTACTATCACATCATTTGAATGGCCAATAATAATAATAAAATACACTGTATTTTTCTCGTTTGCTATTTAGTATTACTACTAATAATAATAATATTAAAATTGATTTTTTACGATAACAGTAGAGACCATAGAAAATTAAACTGTATTTTAAGTACATTTTTATCTCATCAGTAAAATTATATTACAGTATTGCATACATATTATATCGATTGTATGTCTGTCTCTAATTTAAGAGTAAAATTGTTGGCAATAATATTGAGGCAATAAGTTTTCTATTAGCAATAGTTTTTAATAGATATACTGTATATGTATATAATTGACAACATTTAATGTTAAAAGTGAAATAACTATTTAATTTTTTTTGTAGTTTTTTATGAAAAGAAATATATATAAAATTTTACAATTATTTTATGGCTTTGCTATTATTTTTTAGTCGTTTTCTTTGCACTTAAATATTTTTAATGAGCGGTTCCGTCACTGCATGGGCTCAGGTATTCGCACAATTTATGACTGACTTTCCATTTTAATACCAAAGCCCCCCTCTCTCTCTCACTCACTTTGAGATATCTCGCTTTTTTGATAAAACATATATACTGTATATATATATATATATATATATATGCGATATAATTTAGCGATCACTTTTGGTGATCAAAAAAGAAAATCTAAAGTGTAGTCCTAATGTTTTTCAATATATGATTTTTTAGTGCATTTTTGCAAATTTTTCTAATTATTCGCTCAGTTTTTTTTCTTGATAGTCTACTTGAAAAAAGTCGGTTTATTTTTTCTTATATAAAAAGTTATTGGCATTATATAAGTTATATATATCTAAATGAATAAATGTGTAATGATTACAAACCTCTCTCTCTCTCTTTCTCTCTCTCTCTCTCTCTTTCTCTCTCTCTCTTTCTCTCTCTCTCTCTCTCTCTCTCTCTCTCAGCACTTTTAATCATTTTGCAATTTTAGGGTGTGTTTTGCAACTTTTCGATCTCTCTATGCTTTCCTATGGACTTAACTATTACTACTACTATTTCATAAGTTAGTATCAGTGAGAGCTCAAGGCATTTGTGTTTTTTAATTTAAATATAAATTTTCTTAAATAATATATAAAAAATATCACACACACACACACTCCAAATATGTTACACCATTTTCATAGTTTGATGTATGTATTGCCAGTCACTCACTCACTGGACTGACCCTCTCTACTATCATGCATTGTAGTGAAATATATATATCAATATTTCAATATACAGAATATATATATTGTATGTTATTTATAAAAAAAATGGAAAGTTAGTTCATGTGATAGACATATGTGATTAGATTTTTTTTATCCACATATGATTTATATATATTGATTTGATTTGCAATTTTAGCATATTTTTAAAAATAAAAATATAAAAATCTCTAATATTTATACAGTATATATATATATATTGAGATTTTCATTTTTATTTATTATTTCGTATTAAATCTCATTTCATAAAATAATAGCCAAAAAAATTGTTGTGTTTTTGTTGAGATTTTTTTAGTTGAATTCTTGTTTTGTTTTCACAGTGTGTTTGTAATTCACTGGTATTTCTCTTACTTTTATCATTTATTTTGTGTGTTTCACTTAAATCGCAAAATAAATATAATAAATAGACTTTTATTTTTTTTAAACCATTGGTTACTACTACTACACGTCTTATATATTTTATACTTTTTTTGTATAAGATATACTGTATATTGAAAATACTATTTTTATTTGGCAGACAACATACATACAGTATAACACACAGAGAGAAAATGTATTACAAAAGCAAACTTCTATTGAATCAAATGAAAACCTTTATTCTCTCTCTCTCTCTCTCTCTCTCTCTCTCTCTCTCTCTCTTTCTTTTTATATTGAAAAATGTTTTTTGATATTTATTTTTTTATATATAAAATACTGGATTTTGTATTGTTTGTTTGGAGAAAAAATCCTAAAGAAAACAGTTTGTTTTTATAAAAAAAATGTATATATATATTGTGTGTGCGATATATAATTGACTTTTGTAAAAAGATAAAGAAAAACAATGTATGATATTTGTGTTTATAAGTTATTACCAGCAAAATAAAAAGTATTATAGTTTTTGTGTGTTTATTGTTTTTTTTTGTTGGTACACACATATTCCCAGTTATAATACCTGTTTTATATATTTATATATTATATTATGTTTGTGAAGTTAATTTTGGTGCCCAAATGGTACTCATTTATTGTATATGGCTTTCAAGCATAATAATGGACATACCTTATAAAGTTTTAGGTAATTTTCAGTAAGTTTTTTTGTGTTTCCCCGACAAAGTTGTCGACTCCATTACTTACTATTAAGCCCACTATTTCTCCTCTTTTTTTCCTTATTATCACATATACTCTGGTTATCAGCGATTACTTTAAGCTTAAAGTCTTTCTCTATAAAATAATTTGACTTTACTTTTCATTGCTATATATATATACTTTACACACACATTGTATATACAAATAACTATATCTCATAGAAAATGAATAAATATTTGTTTCGCTCTTTTTGTTGTTTTATTGTTTTGCGCTGTCGTTGCTGTTGTTGTTGGTTGTGTTCAAAGACCTTTTTGGCATTTATTTGTGAAAAAAACTTAGTGTTAATATAATGAGTGAGAGAGACCCTGAGCTCAGGTATTATAATGCCATTTATTGTCGTAGAGTAGTGAGTGATAGAGAGAAAGATAGGAGGAGAGGAAAATATATATATATTTATATAATTTTATCACTTATCTGCTAATGTGTTTTAGTTGGCGACCAATTAATACATAGTGTGAACACCGAAAATGAAAATAACAT